AGAAGCAAAAGTTCCTTTGTTGTTTCTACATTTGCATTGTGGGACGGCATTATCTCCTTTTCTCTGGTAAAGGATGGTCCTGTGTATCCTTCGCTAGGGGAGAAGAGAAAGGGTGCCTTTCCTTTACATTTAGAGAATGGAAACAGCTCTTATGATGTAGTTGAAATACTTGTGGGTCGTTTGACTCAGTTGGGAACCTTCCTATGCAAAAAACACTATTGATATGCAAGGTCCCAACCATCGACTTATATAAAGATGGGAGGACATGTCTCTCTCCAAAAGTGAAGCCACATCTCTATCTCCCTGGTGGCTGACTGCAGTATAGGGTATAGAGCCTTGCTGCCTTCAGTTACAGATGGGACAACTAAAAAAGTACTAAAAGTACACATCAAATAAATGTTTCCCAAAGATGGTTTCTGTCTTTTTAGGTAGTTCTTATCAAACTGACGTATGTTCTAGTGTTAATTTTTCTGATAGGTTCAGTTTTAATTTGTTATTTGAAGCTATAAAAAAAGGGTTACACATTATGATTGACAGCTGAGTCCTGCTCGCGATTGAGTCAGCTGGGCGTGTGGGCGGGACTGCACCAAGCAGCAGCTCTAGCAGCGGCTGTATCCACGGTCCCTACATAATGTCTCACCCTGAACTTTGTCTCTCTTCCTCACAGGAGCAGAGCGAGTGATCACGCTGAAGATGGAGATACCCGGTTCCATGCCTCCTCTCATCCAGGAGATGCTGGAGAACTCTGAGGGACTGGAGGGCCATGGAGCCGGGGGAGGGAAGGGAGGAGGTGGAGGAGGAGGAAAAGGAAGAGGCAGAAAAGAGGAAAAAGAGGAGGAGCTCGGAAGCAGCCACCCAAGTCCGTCACCTAAATCAGTCCCCTCTCCCGGCGCGAGCCCCGCGCCCTGCTACCCCTCCTCTCCCTCCCCCTCCACCTGAGGTCCACCCGTCAGCACGGCGTGGCGCCGCAAGGAAACCATCCACACACAGACTGAAAGCAGAAAACACTGCACCTAATAACAGACGATCCGGAGGACTCAAAAGTGTGAACGTGTGAACCCATAAACTCTTTTACTGGGCTACTGGTGACATAAGTAACATTAATTCAACCTTATGCCAGCTAGGAGGGAGGCTAAATATCTTTATACAAGTGCTGCAGGCAGGCGGTAAAGTTAATGAAAGCCAGGGAGATTCGTGTTCAGACGTGTGTCATTGTTTTATACATTAAATGCAAAAAAACAACAGGATTTCAAATTGTTGGGTATCTTTACAATGCCTCAAAGGTTACTATATGCAGACTGTGTGAACCTAAATGAAGGATTAATGAGATACTGGAATGTGGGCAGACTGATTCCTTATAAATCACACATTTCCTCCCTTATGAAAAGTCATGTATAGTATGCAGAATCATTATGTGTAACATATTGTATATAAAAAAGGCTGTGAAAGAAGTTGTCTGGACAGAGATGGACTGATGCGAGAAGTTATTTTCCTAAATGTACATGTGTATATACTGTATTTCAGAGTTCTTCCTTTCCTCTCTCCACCTTCAACACATACACCACTCCCAACCCTCTGCTTCTGATCCCCTCACTGACACTTCAGGGAAGATTAATGATCCTTGACTCAACTTTTCTTCACTGGAACCGTAAACACAAATTGGAGACTTTCTATAGCTTGAGAAAAATGTATTTCTCCATGTGTTTCTTTGCATAATCCTCTGCCAGAAAAGATGTGTTTTCAGATGCAGCTTCAGCAACTCAAGTGACTTAATTGCAACAAACTGTGAAACATAAGACATTTTCATTTTAAAATGATACAACGTTCGCCTCTTGGCAAACTCAACCAAAGTTAACTGTGATACCAGGAGTACAAACACCCCTCACAAGCGTGTTTCCTCTGTGGTAACAACCCCCCCACTGTGGCGCTAGAGCTGTTGAGCTCTGCAGTTATTAGTTAAATGAAGGTTGTATGGAAATCTCATCATCATGACAGGTGCTGCCAAAATACGTCTCAAAATGTACAAGCTGTATTTTGTTTTTTATATTCTGCACCACTAACTGTCATAGTCTGTTTACACAGTGCCACTGCCTCACTACAACATACTCTGTCAGGTACAAATCATTTTCAGTGTTGTCCTCTTTAATGTATGGTGAGGTAAAACTCATTGGAAAGTATAAAAATACAGGGAGTTTAATAAAGTATGATTTCCTTCTATGCTTCTATGTGTGCTCTTTGGTAAAACATGGTTCACTGTGAAATGCATTATTGTATTCACATATCCTATAGAAGCTGAAATGCCCAGGCAAGTGTGCACATAGGAGGTCCATATTCAAATATTTAATGCTACTTTCAATCCACCAACCATATGTTGGATTTGTTTGCTTTGTGTATATATAGAGTGCATGTACAAACAAAAAAAACTACAATCTTAAACATCAGGGCAGTTTAAAGATGCAGGTAAGTAATGCCATGATACTGACAGTGGCTGTGCATGTATATGCAGCAGCCGGTCCTATAAACTTCTTTGATTTTTGCTTTATTGCTGAAAACACTGAATGATGTCTTATTGGATATATTGAGTTTTTTTTTTTTAACCCTTGAAGGTGTTAAAATAAAATACAAGTTTTCTGAGCATTTATACCTCCAACCATACCGTCCCTGCAGTCATACAGACCGCAGTGACATTATTATATACACAAAGAGTGGACCTAAGAGCGCAGCAAAGGGAATGAAACAGACATTAGGATATATTTAGCTGCATTCAAGTACTGTAATTTCTAACTGTGTATGAATTATGCAGTAGGTTTTGTATTGGCGCCTATCCAACCGGGTGTGTGTTCAGTGTTGGACGGGTGGAGGCTGTGGTTTTATGCCAAGTTTGATCAGTTGGTCCCTCAAACTTGTAGTTGTTTTATTGATTGCTTTGGAGTTTCCCAGAAATGATTGAACCACTTGTGTTAACGTTTGAAAGGTTTTTCCTGTGAATTAAATAACATGACAGCAGCAGAGCTAATGCAGAAGTAATGAAACAGACTTTTTACTGACAATGCTCATTATCCAGAAGTGCAACAAAAGGGATGCAGTATGATCGATGTAACCATAACTGTTGAACAAGCAGAACACAAACATTCAGACTTCAACCACCCTGCAAGCTCTGTTTTGACAGAGAATGGTTCATATAAAATATTTAGCGCTCTGATAGCAATGTTCTGCTGTGGGACCTACTGGTTATTTTTTTCCACTTCAAGCACTACTTGTAAACATGAAGCATGAAATGACATATGACGGCCTGGCAGACTGTTGCGGAGCTCATTGGGGGTGCTAGAATGCTGGAGGTGTTTAATCATTATTTCTGAGGTGGAAATTCGGATTCAGTTCAAGCCTGAACCCGACACATGCATGTAAGGATAGAACAAAGGAAGAAACGTTGCCAAATGAAATCAAGGGCAAAACAAAAGACAGAATTCATACACATAATACATTTATACACATAACACAGAGTACATTTATTTATATTTGTGGTAGTTTATTTTTTATGTTGTAAAACTGGTTTGTGTGTATAAAAAATGCAAAGGAGCTAAAAGATAAAACAAAAAGAATTTGTAATATAGTTTAATTTTCTTTTTGTTGAAATAGATTTTGCTTATTGTACTGGTACCCAGCACAAATGAGCTCATCACTGAGATTTACAGAAACGAGTGTTTTGAAACCATGTTTTGGGGCGTTCCTGGGGGCAAGAGAGCAGAGTTGAGGGTGTAACGCTGCCACACCAGGAGCTTTTCTTCAGTAACGTTAACGTCTGAAGAATCTCTGCTGAATCATTAATTCTGTGTCAGTTAATTAAATACCACATAAAAAATTAAATAATTGCAGTCAAACATAATTATAATATTAATATTATATTATATAATATTATATAATTCTATAACCTTCTCAGGCTGCTGAACTTAGCCCGCAAGAGTTTGATTGGAGAGTATCAGTCTTTTCAATTTTTTTTTCTCTACTTTGTAAAAATATAGGGCTCTTATACTTTTTTTTTACTATTCCAATATAGACATCTTCCATTTGATAACTAGGGTACAAGGTCAGTCGAGTGGAGCTACAGATGCCCTCAAATAAGCTGCTACATGACACAAACATCATACCCATTTTTCATAAGTTCAGGACAGCTCAGGTCCTAAACCAATGTTTTGCAGTTTTTTTAGTCAAGTCTATTTTGATCAAGGTACTTCCCCATTATCTCAGCCATCTGTGTCCGTTCGGACTCCTCAGTGCTTTCCATTAGTTCTTTCATTTCCCTATACTCTCATTTACAAACATACTCTTATAAGGCCACAAAGTGGTTACATTTCTTCAACTTTAATTCTCATTTTTAACTAAAAATATCCCCCCCTTTTGCTGTGCTGTGGATCTTATTTTGTAGATGGCAGGTCAGGTATTGTAGATATACAGATCCAGTGATCAATGACTGCTCTGATTGCTATTTCTCCTTTTCTGAGCCTTCTGTGGTAGAATGGTTCTTCTTCTTTCTTTGGAACTCATTTCATCTCAACTGAGCACCTCCATCCTTTCTGTAGCTTAACAGGGCTTTTATTTGGCCTAGTGCTTTTAGGGGGCCCATAAGGCCTCATAAATTTAGAATTGGCATCTGTGTTTTCTGTCTTCTTTGACAGTACGCTGGACAGCCGTAAATACCACAGCACCCACACTGAACTGACCCAAAATCAAAAAGTGAACAAAGCGACAAAGCTGATGTATTATACAAATTGGAATATTATGCTTCATGACTACTTAACGTAGTGCCCCCTAGGAATATTCAAATACTATTCACAGACAGTGCTGTTAACCTTCATAACCTCATGTTTGACTAAACAGAAAGGTCTATGCAATACAGTGTCACCTGATTCATCCAATTGAATCAAGTTAATTTGTGTGTCCCCTACTTACTTGTGAAGCCCTCTGATACTCCAGAGGCCAAATGAAAAGAATAACTGAAAAGTTGGACTGTGCTCTATATTACCATTCTACATTAGATAGTCAGTAAGACACAACAAAAGTGTATCAAAAAATATCAAAACAGTGTACACATTGTGACGCAAGATACATTTAAAAAGGTTTTCTAATAAAATGGGAAAGCAAATCAAAAATCAAATTGATAGTCTGCAGTAATGCAGAATTTGCTGTGTGTGCAAGAGCTCAGTTTCGAAGGAAGTACAAATATTGGCTCTTGCCACCTTCAAGTGTGGATAAATGTAATAAATGTGGCATAAGGAAATAAAATACCCTGAAATAAATAAAAGTAGTCCTGAAAACTTACATTTTAAAATAAAAACCTATTTATTTAACTATAACATTTATTTATTTCAGGATTTATTTCATAAGCTTATTCATTTATTTCAGGATTTATTAACATTGACCTAAATCACATTCCATTACTCTCCTCTCTTACTCTCCTTCTGCACACATTCATGTCCCATTAATGCAGTGTTTTTCAAACCTGGTCCTTGGGGGCCAATGCCCTGCATGTTTTAGATGTTTTCCTCCTCCACCACACCTGATTCAAATGATCAGCTCATCATCAAGCTCTGCAGTGGCCTCATAACGAGCCACTCATTTGAATCAGGTTTGTTGGAGCAGGAAACATCTAAAACATGCAAGGCAGGGGTCCCTGAGGACCAAGATTGAAAAACACTGCATTAATGCATGTTACTAACGTCACTTCTTTCTCAGAGTTCTTGTGCTTTCTTGTCTCGAAGGTTCTCATGGATCCTGGTGGAGCCCTGCCGCCATGGCCCTGCTTGACCCCAAGAGTCAGAATTTGATGACCTGGGAATGAGACTCAACATCTACCTGAGACTGACTGCACCTTTAATATTCCCAGCTTCCTCTCCATTCCAAAATGGTGACAGAGAGTTGAGACTGAAAACCAGTGTCACTGAAAGAAAATCAGAATGCAAACAATATCCAAATAAAATTATGTGGTTTTTAATGCCTGCGTTTAATTTTTCAGGGGACACTTTTCAGTGCCAATCATTGTTCCAATACCATTATGTAATCTTTCACTTCAGGTTTGTTTTTGAGTGCCAAATTTTAATTGCAATGCCAACATTCACTGTCCTGGTTCCTGGGGCATTTTTGCTTCAACTGTCAAAGAGATTAAATTCACCATTGATAATTGTGGTCAGCTCTCCTGAAATAGACAATATATTTGGAAATAAGACATTATATGGTCAAGAACACAGAGGTTTGGTTATGAAATGCTACCCTACATATGCAGATTATAAAGCTCCTGCTACTGTAAACACAAACAGAGAAGCAGCAAACTTTGGAACTGCAGATTGTGGAACTGCCTTTCTGTGTCTATACCAACCCTCCTGAGCCTGGATGCTTCTCTGTGTTACCTGCACTCCTCAGGATGTTAAGACTTTTATCATGCCTTATTTTTGCCATTTTTACACATCCATACATACATATTTGGTCCCCTTCACTATGTCGCAGTCTTCACTTCTCTCCTCATTAATCTTAGTAAACTATATCATGACAATACGATTTTAGAACTATCAGATCAGATTAGATGGGAATGGGTCTACTCTGTTCTGGAAGGGTTGAAAACACCAGGGGCCTCATGTACTAACGTTGCGTATGCACAAAATTCGTGCGTACACTATTGTTCACGTTCACGTTCGGATGTA